CCCCAAAACCCCAAAACCCCAAAACCCCAAAACCCCAAAACCCCAAAACCCCTTTTTAATTAAATATGATTGAAGACTTTATGGAAATTAAACTCCATAACCAGACCTACATAGATAATCATGGTCCTTTACCTCCTTATGCTCATCATTGAAGAGAGACTTGAAGGTAGAGTCTTTGTCAAATTTCTGATTCACAATTTCAGAGAGCTTTTTCTTGTCAACAAGTTTGCTTTCATTAAGCTTTTTCTTTCTTTTCCAAGCTTCTTCAGATTCTTTTAGTAAGAATTCTTCGGCATCTTCAGTCTTTTGAAGTTTATTCGATTTCTTCTCCTCCTTAGTGGAAGATTTGTCCTTGTCTAATCCAAGGATATTTCCAGCAGGCGTATCTTCTTGCTCTTTGCTGATTTCCTTCCTTTCTCTTTTCTTTTGAACATATTTTTCAACTAGCTTCTTTCTGGCTTCTTCACTGACTTTAGGACCAGGAGAGAGCTGAATTTTATCCTTCTCTTTAAACTTCTTATCACAGTTAGGGCACTTATTTCCAACATTCATGTTCTCAAAGACCTTGTTGGATAAGTAGCAGCCACATGGCCAGAGTAGGATGAACTTCTTGTAGCCATCAAATTCTGTTCCAGAGATAGGGCAGACCATTAAGTTTGCTCCTTCACCTATATATTTAGAAGTATATTTACCTTCTGGTTCGACACGGTCGTTCTTGGGGTCTCTCATCTGAACATTAAGGGTCTTGACATCCTTCATCTTCCTGATGTAGCAGTAAGCTCTGGGGACATTTTTATTAACTAGGGCTTCTAGTATAGCTTCTTTGTTGAACAAATTACCAGCTCTATCCGAAACAATAGGTTTTTGTAACTTCTGTATTGAAAGAGTGCACATATGTGCCTTATTATACGCATAAAGAGCTTGATCAGTCTTGACCTCCTTGGGCTTCTCTCTGATCATGTCCTCTCTATGAGGGATGCTGCCGCCATCATTTCCCATATTTCTAAAATTATATACCTAAAAATTGTCTAAAGATTGGGGTTTTGGGGTTTTGGGGTTTTGGGGTTTTGGGGTTTTGGGG